ATTTTAACAATTTTCAATAAAATGACGTTTTAATCGGCCATATTGAATCGGCCACTTTTAAATAAAATTACGATTTTTTAGAAAATAGTAATTTATCTTTAAGATGAGCCCAGAAAGAAGTCTATGTCTTTATGTTTCTGGAAGATATATGAATTTTTAATCATTGGGGAAAAGAGGCTTCAACGCAGGTAACACGGCAATTTTAAGATAGGATGTGAAATGTGTTCTCCAGGGATATGATTCAAAAGCTAAGAAGACAATCGGTGAAAGCTTCTGGTATTAAGGGTAAATTAGGTCTTGGTAGCAAACCGAACACGTACCGTTCAAGATCGTTTATTGTACCTTCACCCACGCCAGAACATCATTTAGAAAGTCCGGAAGATATGAATACGGAGATTAATTCAGCCAATTCAGCTAGTTATGAAAGCAGTCCTAGGAGCGGTCCCAGTCGGTACGCATTTATATGTTTATTTTTTAAAAACTAGATTTTTTCGAATTTTTTAATTAAAAACTCATATATTAAATATTTAAATGTGTTAAATTACATGTGTAATTTAAAAATTTTGTTGTTATATAGGTCAGCTTCTTTGCGAGTAAGAGGGCTTGGAGGACCACGAGTTACTTTTAGTGACACACATACAATGTGCAGGTATGGCTGAAATCATATTAGTAATAAAAAATATAAATTAATGTTTATAATCTTTGTCAGGCAATCATCTCTACCTAGCGCCAGTTCTGATTTGAGTTTACCAGAGGGAGAATTAGAATGGCCAGAGACTATCGAGATAGAAGGAGAAAGAGTTGAATTGAGAAAAAAAAATAGAGATATCAGTTGTACATCTAGTTACGACAGTATGGAGGGAAAGTATGTACTCTCCATAATTTAGATAATTATAACATATATATTTATAAAATATACAAACTAAATACACACATTATATTATATTTTCTTTGCAGTGCACCATTACTTGATTCATTTGGAAAAGAACAAGCTTCATCGACTTCTTCTCCATTTATTACATCCCAGAAAACTCAAGAACCTAACATAGATTTTGAACTTGATGTCAAAGTTTTAATTAATAGCGGAAAATGTGTGTTACACACAAAAGATCCAGGGAAAGAAGATGAAATTAAACTGTAAATATATGCATAACATAGATAATATATTACTTAATGGCTTAATAATTTTAACGATTTTTCAAAGATATTGAAAACGCATATTTCAATTGATCTAATTATTAAAAAAAAGAAAGGATAAATTTGAATAAATGTCTATTGTAAATTAAATTTTTTTTAATTTAATACTTTTTAAAATATAATTTCATACAATAACATTTTTATGTGACAAATGTCTTTTTTTCTTTACAGCTTGAGTAGAATGAAGAAAGAAAGATCATGTTCCGGTGGTACATTCGAATTTCAACCTGGCAGTCCAAGTAGTAGCAGAAAACATTTAAATAGTAAAGAGAAGCCGTCGACAACTAGTACATCTCGATTGAAATATTTGCAGCATACAAGCGTGCCTTTAGTGGATTTAACAATTTTTCATATTCCTGGTTTAGATGTTAAGGTAAAACTTAACATTTTATCTATTGATGATTCTATATTTTTCAAACAGTAATATAAAGACAAAACTATTTTGCAGGTTCATTACGAATCCAAGACTCTTCCAGAAGAATCATTATCTCCTCGCGTATCTGCTGAGAACAGTTTATTAAATCCAATTACAATGACAGTGTTTAGAAAATCTAGTACTAAAAAAGCTAGCCTGTTTGCTTGGATGACTCTTCAAAGCATTCCAGAGGAAACTATTATTAGTCCTCACATTCTTGAATTTTTAGAGCAAACTTTAGAGCCAATTCCGAGTAAGAATAATTTCCAGAGTAACGTGCAAACGAATGCTGGCTTTCTGTTAGAAAATACAGAAAACACATCATGGGCTGCCACTGCTGCAAATAGCAATTATGTTTATGCCAGTTTCCCCGTTGATGTCATAGTATACTTCCATATGCAGCCATCTACATTTAGGTATCAGACATTATATTTTATTTAAAAAGTTTCAGGAAATCATTTACATTTATTATAATAAATTCAATCTTTTTATAGATTTTCATGTTTACCAGTTTCACGAGTGGAATGTATGCTACAATTACCATCTCTCGATATCGTATTTTCATCAAAACGTGCTGAGGAAGAGTTAATAGAATTTCGGGAGTTTAAATCACAACCAACGGGCAAGGAAATAGGTTCAGCTACCGGTGGATTGTCTGTCACAGGTTGTTTAGCGGATTTTTCCGTTTATATCTTTCATCCATATGGTGGCGGAAAGAAAACAGGACTAAAAGAAGCACAATGGTCGCCTTTATCAGACAGCGAGAGAAAAGATTCGTTAAGCATTAACGTCGAATTTGTGAAATTTCATTTGTCAAGAAGCAGGAAGTTGAATTTTCAAAGCGAACAGCTTAAGAAGCATTCAGATTCTGGTCGTGCTGTCATACGATTTTCAAGTACGTATATAATGCAAATCGAAATGTCGAACATAGTTTATTATAATTATGGATATGTTAACAATTGTTTTAAAAAAATTTCTTAATGTAATATTAATTTTTTTTAGCAATTATTGATATTGGATCGGCCTCGTTTAAATACGACATGCGTCGATTAACAGAAATTCTGGCATTTCCAAAGGCTTGGTATCGACGTAGCATAGTAAGACGCTTGTTTCTGGGAGATTTAAGTTCAGGCACCGCATATTCCGAAGGGGATGGAAGTCCGTTAAATCAAGAGGAAGCAGTTATGGGTAGCTCCTTACTGAAACATTACGATAGGCATGATCCATTATCAAAAGGCACATCCGAAAGAAGTCCCATATTAAATCGAGAAAAGTTGAAATTAACCTTGGAAAATGATATGCCAAGACCAACGCGATTGAAAGGTAAACGGCTTTCGTAATTCGCGCGGTTAGCAAAAGTAAATTTAAAACTTATATTAAATGTTATTTTCATATCAGATATTGGGAGAGGATGGAGCTTTACCTCGGACAAGCAAGTGTCGTCCGAGGTCAAATTAAGAGAATCCGCGTGGGAGACATTGGTGTTATTTGCAGTGAATTTTACACGTCTAAATGTCCATATGAATATGGGTAATGTAATGGGCAATGTTAGCTGGATGACAAAGGATTTCAGATCAGATGGAAGACTGTCTATTGGCAGCACAGGACATAAAAATTTGTATATAGGCATTGGCTTAGGGGGATCGAGTTTAGATGCGAAAGGTGGCATAGTTGGTGGGACAATTGAATTAAGTAGAATTGATACTTACAGTGAGTTTTTTAATAATTAGATTTGTGTAAATTATCGATAAATTATCATAGAATTTAATCTATGTTTCTTTACGCATAGTACACATTCGAGAAGAGCCTGGGATAGAACCTGATCATACAGTGGGATTGAAATTATTTGCATTAGAATTACGATTGGATTATATGGGAACAAGTGTGCTAATGTCTCGAGTGTCTTCGTTGGACGTTACTCTTAGAGACGAATGGAAAATTAACCGTAGTAGTAGTGGCGATGCTTTCATGCCAACCCGAAGGTATGTTTCAGTCCTATTCAAGTTAAATGCATCGCTTCAATGAAATAAGCAAGGAGACACAATTTTATTTTATCAAAATTTAACATTAAAAAGCATAAATATATATGAAAAATATTTATATAGGCCCGCTATCATTTTTATGCATGGTGACTTGGGTTGGGATCAATTACAAATTATGATCAGCAAGTCAACAACAGCCGATTTGCTGAAAATGTTTTACAAACTGGATGAGTTTTTCAGTCAACAATTTAAGAGTAGCAAACGTGTATTTAGTTCGTTACAACCAAAGCATCAAAGAATGAATAATAGTAGCATCAAGAAAAGGCAACAAAAGAAGAAATCTGCTATTGACGGTAAATTCAAAAAACTGTCCTGTTATTCACATGTGAAAATTGTGATGCTAATTACAATTTATCGTAGGAGGTCCGTGGAGTTTAAACCAGACTGCGATATCAGACGCTAGACATCATAGACATTGGCAAAGAGTATTAACTCAAGTAGCTGGTCTTCAGTTAGGAAGCTTAAGATTTTCTTTGCCGTCGACCGGTACCGTCCTTGGTGGTACAATGGAACTTCATGGCTGTAATATTAGCTTAGCATGTTTCCACGGAATTAATTTCAAAAGCAAAAGCTGGGCTTTGTTCTCATTAAAAGAGCCCTGTATAAGTTTCGCCACAGAAGCTCAAGAAATTCCGAGTGTTGAAAGTAATTATTATTAAACAATCATCATGGATTATATATTTTTATATCGATATAATTTATTATAAATTCATTTTTTTTTTACACACAGCCCCTAACATGTACGACGTTCACGTTGTACAGACGCTAACCATCAGTCTGGGTCATCAACAAGAACAACATGCAAGACATCATTCCATGGCTACCGTGTGTAGATTAAGTCGAAGCGTTTTATTTCCACCGCAATTTAAATCTCTGCAAGAATGGTTTCATTATGCATTTGCTAGTAGTGAGATTGATGGTATGTATCAAATAGTAAATTTATTTTTATTTATTATTTTTTTGCTTCTATAGAATTACACATGTTTATCTATTTTCCTCTTTTATTGTGCGTAGCGGTAGACAGATTTCCATGTGTCGAGCGGGATAGAGTGGACAGTACATCTGACGGCAGCGCATCACGTGGAAGGAGTACATCTGCAACGTCTGGCAAGTTGCAAGAGCACTCACACACACGGGAAGTGATATTTGCTTTGCCTTCGTTGCAACTGCATCTAAAAACTGAACATTTACAAACCGCTAGAACACCAGACGTTATAGGTATGTAAATTGAAAAAGAAAAATTAATTTTTCGAGCGATCACTGCTTTGTTGAAATATACGTTTATGTAAATATTAATTTGTTAATATGTTTTTATACAAATCAATCACGTTGTATAACTTTCTGTGAGATAAGAGAATAAGCTAAATATGCTGATGTGCAATAGACGTGCTCTAATGGTACAACATACGTACTGTGGTTTTCTTTGTTATGAAATTATATTGATAAATGTACAAATCCTTTTATGTTAAATCACTAAGCACAAAGCATAATATTACATGTCTTTCCACTGTGCTAATTGTTCTGCAATTGGTTCTTTCGTATATTTTTAGGACTTCCTAAGCATATTTTATATAGTAAGTATGGAATGAAGTGTATTACGTTAGGAATGATAAAAGACGGTAGAATATTTAGTGTGCTTTACATGTTTAAATAAACGCTTAAGCAATATCTGTTAAATTATTAGAGTTTTTTATACTTGTGTTTCGTTCAATAAAAAATCTTCAAATCTTTACATACACATACACAAATAATGTAATGACGAATAAATTAAAATTTGTAGTTTTTTTCAATAGCTTAAGCTACAATATTATGTTATAATTCAGCATAATAATGAATAACGAAGAGTATTCATTTATTTAAAAATTTTCATAATTATTAATATAAACAACTAGTAAGCATGGCAAATTAGCTTTACTACTTACAATTAGATGTAACTAAAAGTATGATATATTATTTCATAAATAATTTTGTAACATAAACAGAGTGAAGTTACATAAACATTAATGTAACTTCACTAACGTAGTAAGTGTAAAAACGTTCAATCAGTCTTAAAATTTGTCGAAACGTAATTATTGTGTTGTTATTATTCCGATTTGCAGGCGAAAAACCATTAGTTGAATGCAGCTTTATAACAGAATTTGAAGATCATATATTTGTTACCGTCGATGCAGAAGCCTTTTTCTTCCTACATGATCTCATTACGTCATATGTGAAAGAAAAGGAAAGAGTAGTAAGAGCTTTATTGAAAATATATTTGAAATAACTTTAAAAATTTGAATTTTTTACCTATTTAAAAAAAAAAAGAACCTTATTCTTATGAAATTTCCTGCATTGCAGCATACAATGCAGAATATGGGTGCAAGAGCGCACAGTCCCGATCCACAAGAAAGAAAAAATATAAACACAGTTAATATATCTAGCATATCTGTTATTGCCGAGGACGAGAAGAAACGCAAGCAATTTGATCCGGCTGAAATGTTTATAAAAGATTGGCGATCGTACAGATGTAAAACGTGGCATTTAGAACCGACAGTAAGGTGAGTTATTTCTCAAATATAGTTTCTTCGAAGTTATCTAAGATAATAAAGATAATCACGAATTTCTCAATGTGTCAAGGCTACTCTCGTGGGCTGGCAAAAGTATAGAACCTTACGGAATCGATTATATTCTTCAAAAATTGGGATTTTCCCATGCACGCACGACGATACCAAAATGGATACAACGAGGATTTATGGACCCTCTAGACAAGTTACTCGCCATTCTTATGTTAAGAATGGTATTAGCCGTTCGTGAAGAATCCTCAGATGAACAAAAAGAATATAAAAGAGAAAAATAATACCAAATTGACTTTTTTTAATAATATACATATGATCTCGTGATAGGTATATTACAGCAGTGCAATAACTGGTAAGAAAGACTTATACACATCAGTGTTACTTAAGATGCGATAAAGTTTATGCATAAAAAGTAACAAGCCTATGTATAAATTTTTTTTAAATGTTTGTTTAAAGTAATTAGATTCTCTGATGTAGTAATGTAATTATAAAAAGAACCATAGTGGTTGATAATAATCGTTCTTGGTAAAGAACTATGAAACTTATATTTGTAAAACTAATGTCCAGTGTAATTAATAAAACGTAATAACAGGTATCCAAATAACTAAATATTACTAATATACATGAAGCATGTATAGTTTTTTTTACTAGATATTATTTTTTATTTTAATTAAGAGAGAGAGAGAGAGAGAGAGAGAAAGAGGAGAGTAGAGTATTAGATTATATCTTAATATATACTTTAACTATATTCTTATAGTATTTCAAGATTCTCTGATGCAGTAATATAGAATTAATCACTCAATTTGATTTATATAGTTGTTTTTCTGTTTTTTAAATTGCAAAATGTCATATGTTCAATCTGCAAAACACAGGATCTATTAAAGAACAATTTTTTATGTGCAAATATGTAAAAAAAAATTTTTTTTTTAAAATAGAATGTAAAAGAATTTAGTGCGATTGTGATGTTTAATATTATTTTATTGTGTGTTATTCATAATACGTACGAATTTGTAAATTATATTCAATTCTATAATATGAATTGTACATATACTTCGTAAAGATTCAGACTGTAAAATGTGCGCAATCTGTGATTTTTCTATATTTATTTTATATATAGGTATTGTGTATATGTCGTTTATATATTAGGATATATTTGTTTATAAAATTTGCTTGAAAGTAATTCCTTGATATGATTTAAGTATATACATTTCTAACGCGCTTTTACGATCATTATCGACCATAAAAGGGTTCCCTGGAACAATTTATTACTTAAATAATGTAAAAAAAAGTTTTATATTGATATGTGTAAATACGTGAAAATAATTAAATTTATCCAGCACCATTGCACGAATATAAATATTCTGAGAGATATGTAAGTAGATCCTCTTCAAGGATTTCAATATTCGATTCGAGGATTCAATATATAGATTATTCCAATAAGAAGAAATATTGTATGCATTTTTGTATAACACACACCACACGCATTCGCAGAATATTTATTAAACTTTATCAAATATAAATCTTTATCAAGAATATATTCACAATCTTTCAAATATGATCTTTTCATTGCTTCTGCAATATGTACTGAATATGTATTTTGCTGATGCTGGAATAAATGTGCATTTATAAATATTTGAACTTATTATTATATTAATGGTACATTTATATAAACATACAAATATGTATATAATTTTTTATATTTTATTTCGAATAATACCTTAAAATATGTGTGTAATTATTATATATCTATAATTAAATTATAATTATCGTGCTCTTTCTGCACGATAATTAGATAACTAGAAAAAGAGAAAAAAATGATAAGAAATAACGTGACCTTGGATTTAATTCATATTCTTTTTTCCGAAACAATTTCATAAGTGATAATTTTTTAATTTTGTTATTGAAATACGTACATATATATATCTAAATCTTTTCGTTCAATCTTTCTTGTATAATTGCTAGATAAAGAAATAAAAAAATACATTTACAAAAATATTTTATATAAATTTTAAAATATCATTTAAAGTAAAATAATATAATTGAATTTAATATAATTAAATGAGCAAATATTTAGTCCCCCTGGATTTAAAAAAAGTTTTAATTTATAACCCCCAAATCATAGGTATTTTAATAATTTTTTTTTCCAAATTTAATTTCTCTATTTAAGTGTACAATTCTCGCGTATCGTAATTCATAAATAAAAAATTTCAGTATATACTTGTGTGTGCGTGTGTGTGTGTATATATACACACACACACACACGAGTATATACTGAAATTATATATATATATATGTATATATAATTTATGTGTACAGTTATATCATATAAAATAATAAAAATAATAAATCACAATGTGTAATTATGAATATAAATTTATTACACGCAGAATGCGCAAGTGAGGACTTAAAAATATTTTTGCTTATGTATGAGATATTTCTTATTGCTATACATAATTGTACAATACATCTGTATCTATATACTTTGTAATGTTATATATAGCTTCACGTGTATACTAACTGTAAGATACAAAAATCATGATAATAGGATAACAACTTACATCAAAATTAATGCACATAATGACATTAAATAACAATAAAAGGTATATTAGATATAAAGAAAAATTCAAAATATATATCTATGCATGCAGACTGGAAACACAGAGAATTCTCATATCATATAATAATAATAATAATCTTTTTGACATCTTATTAATTTACTTTCTTTATCACTTGCAAATATTATAATATACCCTGTAAGAGAATTATGTGAAAGAATTTCAAGAGAAAGGTTTTTACGTATACTAACAACATAAGTTGAATCAATAAATAAAATTTGCAGATATTATTCAGTAACACTATATTATTGTTATGTCAATCATAGTTAAATATATATTACTGTACAATAAAGAGTGTAGTTTATACAATTTATATGTATGGATAGCAATACATACTAATAATTGTTGAAATTCCAGTTTCTCTACGATACATCACAAGTTTGTGCACTGAGCTCTGAGTATATAGTACAGATAATCAATCGATAAATTATCAAGTTTCTGTATAAACTGCTTTTCGCCATACAGAATAACATGGACGGCAAGGATGTTTATACATATTTAAATTGCTTGGAGATTGCTCATCATGCTTTTGACAATATTGTACGAATCACATTTTAATAACGAAAGTACGGTTTTATATTGCTATTAGACAAATTAAAATCTAAATGTTTTATTTTTTTTTACATAAAATTAAAATTAGCACGCGTACATAATGAGGAATATAAGTGTTTTCTAATAACTTTTCTTTTACTAGGCTATTCATGCGTGTATTTCTATCATTTTCAGCACAAAGTGGCAAAGTATGTGCGTGTAAATGGCTCTATCATTAAACATTTACTGTACAATATTTTTAGGAACTCGCACAATTCTATAATATCGTTTAATATAAACAAATAATATAGCAAACAATTAAAATATTAAAACATTTACTTGTCTTGATGATTTCCATTATATTCTTTGTGAAAAAGAGATATTCAAATTGAAAATAACTTATTAAAAATCAACGATAAATTGTCTCCTTATTTAAATAACAATATTATATAACATATTATAACATTAAATATTCAAGTTGTTTGTACATAATCGTGAAATAAAATTAATTATATAGCAAATATATTTACAATTTAAACACGACGCTTAAAACTATACTTTTCGTGACACAATATTTTGATAGCTTATTCAACGTTACAAGTATCTAAAAATTTCGTTAGTAATTAAAATAGTTTCGTATATTACGATTTATACAATGAGTGACCTGTAAATCAGTATCAAAAATTAACGTGAACATAAAAGATATATGCTAAGTATAGAAATACTATATTCACAATTAGATCTTGAGTATAAGTTTCATAGGAAACCAATAATAAATTAGAAAATATAGCATGTTGATGGGTATAAAATTATAAAACTGATTTATACTAATATATTTATATGTACATTTCATATGTACATTATAACAAATATTTTCTCATTTCATAAATTTTATAAATTACGTCATTTTTTTTAATATTTTGCATCTGATTCGTTATGAACATTAGTAATTAAATGGGCTCAAATTATCAAAACAATAAAAAATGTTATAAGATATGTAGTGACAACACAAATTTCTAAATACAAAATAATGCACCCATCAACCACTACTTATTTGTTCGCTTGTCATTATTACTACCAACTCTATATGAATAAGATAATTGTGTATGTTTATATATATATATATATATATATATATATATATATATATGTACAATATATAGACACACACAATTATATTTATAATTTTATATATACCTATATATGTTCATACACTGCTTAAAAAAATTTCCTGCATAATAATGATACATTAACTACAATTGTAAATTATATATCTTTTTTATGTTTATATTAGTAAATAATATACTATGTAATGCAATGCGATGATATATAAAATATAAGAGTACTGTAAACTATGAAAAGCAGAGGACAGATTACAAAGGCACAAAGACTTTATGGAGTGGAGAAATCTAACTTTTGTTTGATAAGTAGAAACTTATAAAGTTTCTTATAAGTGTGCTGTACAAAGGGAAAATATTCATTGTTCTTCGCAGTCTCGATAAAAATGTAATGTAAATTCCAAATAGTCGACATCATGCTTACTTTTGCAAATATTCTGTAATAAAATAATATGACAGTTAGATTATGTAACTCGAATGTTAAATGCATTAAGAATCTTTAACGTATTAATATCTATAATGTCATAATTCGTAAATACTTTACGAATATTTCATAAATTATTGCTTCTTTACATAAAAATAATTACCTCTTGAGGTTGCATCGTAGGTATTCGAAACTTTAAAGTCTTTCTAAGATAATGAGCGACATCAAGAGGAAAGGATTGATCACCCGGTTGATTACTATTTTCGATATACTGAGATTGTTGCTGCATAGTATAGCTCCAACCACACACCATTGTTTCGTCCATACCAGGATTTGGTGAGAAAGGACACTGCTGCACGATTTGCCAATACCACGGCATACCGCTGTAATGAAAAATCGTGATTACTATCAGAAATTGAATACACATGCTCATAAAAAAGACGCGTTCTAAACTTACACAAAATGTAATGTTAAATGCGTATCGGGCATATGTTTTGATAAAGGCACGATGCAACTAATGTTGTTGGGTGTATCTGGTGACGATGGGGAGCAATATCTTTGATCCAAAGACGTGTTGAAATTTTTTGCTACTATAAATAATTGTGGTCTAGGTTCCGGTGGCAATGATCCCGCGGCGTTACTAGCGACTTCTCCCCAATCTCCACCACCGGTTTCTCGTCTTGCTCGTTTATGTAAATACTTGTAATTGGTCTGCAAGATACGCATACGCTCAATTATCAATTTGTCTTTTTTGTTTTTTGACTTATCCAATGAGATAATTTAAGAAAAAAATCTATACCTCTTTCACAAGAGTTTGAGTGCTAGGATCGGATGGGCTAATACCATTTTGGAAACCCTTATTTAATTTTCGTTTCTCTTCGTGTGGCATACTTAATGGCTGTTCCAAGTGATCTGCTAAATATAATAAAGTTTGTCACAAAATAATATATTTTAGATTGTATAAAGCATAAGTGATTCGTGCACACACTTTAATAATAAACTCAAAAAAGCAGATATGAGACTTACAAATAGATTTCTTTTCTGGTGGATGATCAGGCTGAGGATCTTCTAATTGATGAATCTCAGCTGTGCAACAATATATCTGAAACATTGTGTTTATATTTCATTTAATTATAGATGTATTATGCATTCATATCAATTCATATACAAACACACACACACACACACACACACACACACACACACACAATCATAAGTAACATTTAATTTAAATAAATAGCGTCAATAACTTCTCAAGTACCTGACATGGACTTTCAAGTTCAGTAAAATGTGCAGGACATTCTTCAGGTCTTCCTAAAGGAATTGGACCTTTATTAATAGATGAAGAATCTAAATCCGAGCCTTGATCATTCTCGTCCACATTGCTAGGAACAGCACCTGCGCCATTTCTACTAAGCCAATTTCCCGGGAATTCACTGAAATTTATTATTAATATAACATTTCTAATGAACAACAAAATGTTTTCTTTCGTGGTATCATCATTCAAGAAATTTATATTTTACTGACTTATTTTTTTCATGTTTCGGTTGGGGACCTGGATGGCTCATCGGATACCATGTTATTTCCTGAGAGTATAACTGCTGTTTCGTGTGCGGAGGTGGTGTGGTAAGGAAATTACTTTTGATAGATAATCCTCCGTCTAATTCCCTCGTGTAAGAGCCTTGCTTCGTATAGAACGGGGATAATGTGCTATGTAACAACGAATTATATCGATGCTCATAATTAGATGTGGTAGACATTGTCGGTGGATGAGCCGGGCCAATAGCCAACATTCCATTGCTTGCCATGGCGGACCATTCAACGCTACTGCGTTTTTGATATTCTAAGAAATATAATGTTGCCATTGCAACCAGACTGAAAATCAGATCAAGTAGGATCAATTAGTTAAATGTTGGAGAAAAAACCAAGTCAGATTAAAAGTAAAGCTGAAGAAATAATTACCAAAATGCCATGATGAGAATAAGTATCACAATGATAATTTGAATAAATTTATTACTGCAGAGAAGTTCTTCCTCCCTTTCGAGCCTTTTTGTCTTTCCGTGCAAAGATGACTTATTATTGATAGATGATGAATATTTATTGCCTGATATACTAGATACCGTGCTGATGGAACTCTTTAGGCTATCACCTCTTTTCAATTTCGCTAGTCGTTTATTTATTCTCTCTAATTGATCTATTCTTGTTTCTAGACTGTCCGTCACCTGTAATAAATCGATTGTAATCTATTATAACTTAAAAGATTAAATCTCATATATAATCGTATGAGGGATTAATAAACAAATTTTTACCTTGCATAATTCTTTGACAGCACCAACATTCTCCATAAATATTCTCTCCTTATTTACCACTAAGAAATTTTCAATTCTCTGACCATTTGGCAGAACTATATCGCCTGCCGGCAGCACCGCTTCCGGTAAGATTTGCTGAACCTCTTGCGCTATGACACCGGTATCTTCCTGTTTAACATCCAGACCCGAATGTTGCGCGAATTCTGGAGCGTATCGATAACGAACAACGCGTAGTTGTTGCACGTTTCGTAATTGTTCGCGCGTATCCACCTCTTGAACGCTTTGTTTCGCTCTTACGTCACTGGGTTGAACGATATGACCGGTCACCTGTGTGACAAATTTAATTTGATTCATTTGACTAGTGTTGACACAATTGCATTATTACAACTTAACTCTCAATGATGTAAATATGAATCAAATAAGAAAGTCGCGTATATACCTTCATATTGCCATGCACAACAAGAGCTTCGTCTGGCCTATCCGTATTAATTCCAACTCTGCCGGCATGATATACACTATCTGGAGCTGCTCCTCTCTGCCATCCACCTTCAGCACCCACCCCAGTGCCTTCTGATTCAAACTGCCCTGGGTTACTCGCCTATAATGCAACGTATGTAAGAATATCAATTCCGGTTCCAGAACATTCTCACCATCATTAATTTTACATACTCTGACAATTATACGTTCCGATGCGTGAGCCACTACTTGATAACTGGCTTGGTCTGCGGTATGAGCGTGCAGTCCGACAACCAAATGAAAATACCTCTGATCCGGATTTGGTTTTCCCTTCTTACGCATATTATTGCTTGTAGTTTCGCTAAAGTGCAAGCGGCCGACCGTCACTTTTGTAACACGTTCGCCGCCTAATTCGAGCCTGTAACACAATATCTATAGCATAATCCAAATGTATCCAAATTGTATTATCGATTTATATACCGTCATCGATGTATAAACTCACGTTACAGGATGGAATGGTTTCTTGCTTCTATCGCTTTGACTTTGTTCGACTCTGATTGTTTGCGATGGAGATTCCACTTTAACTCCGTAGAAATGTAATTGGAAACCGCTTATCTTTTTCAGGCCTTCGCCAGTTCTAACAAATACGGCCTCCCCTTGAAGCTGCGCGTGGCATGTTATCTAAAAATGTAATAATTGCAAAGATTGTTATTTAGTAAAATTTTACATATAATTTTGACAATGCATATATTGTGGCATCTTTAAATTCAGAAAAAAATATGTTTTTAAGGCCGCAATATATTTTGCTTTATTTTTAAAATTGTCAGACATCGCTCTTTTACCTGAAAATGATTCTTCTTCTGACAAACAAACGCATCGTCCGAATTGCTAAAATTAAATCCTTTATCAGCATCCACTCTATAATGTGGTACCGGTAACTCTTTGAGATTATGATCGCAAAGAACGTGCCAAGATGTTTGCTGGAAAGGATGGAACCGAATACACTGATAACTAGCATCAATGTAATTGCCGTCAGCAACTTCGTCGTTGTCCAGCACTGCGCTACTGCTGCTACAACTGTGCTCCACGGTACCTAGTTCGGGTTCCTGAAAAATAACAATTGCAAATAATGATCCACTAATTGTAAGTAAAAGAAGAAAATAATTAAAATTACGAATGAAATGTAAGAGCACCTGTTTGACGTGGATAAGGCCATCTTGACTGAGTTTCCTTTTTTTTGGAGCTGACTGCAGAGACGAGTATAGCGTGTTAATGCCAGCCGAATTATGTTCGTGCGATAACGGCACTAAAGACGGTCCTATCTGGGGCTGCGTTGGTAGATTCGACGTTCCCGATGTAAGATGGGATGTCAGAACCGGTGTTAACAATAGAGGATCCGTTGTTGTTGCAGGCAACGTTCTTGGAGAAGGTGGTAGCAAATTAGAAGGGTATTGATTGTTCTGATGATGCAACAGTATCTCTTGTAAAGCTGCTTTTTGATCTATAATTACACGCAATTGTAGATTATAATTTTCATGTAAAATGTTTTTACACGCAAGCGTATTTAAACTCACGCGGAGAATGTACGTGTTGAGTGTCATTATGTCCCGGCGGTGAGTATGGTGGCTCACTTCCGCTATCCGGTGGGCTTTCCGGTAGCGCGTGTCTGGAAAGCAATTAATGTTCTAGATTTTCATTGAGTTATTAAATCGCTACAAGAGATCTGTCGTTTTTCTACTAACAATAAGATCTACAGTCACATTTAATCTAATTTAAAATCAATTTTTTATTTAAAAACTAGAATTATCTAATTGGTGTAATTTTATTGAATTTTATTCTTCATTTCGCGCCTGATGGGAAGATAGAGTTTATGCAGATACATATATATATTTATCGGCACAAACTCTAAAAAATAAAACTGATGGTAATAAATCGCGGTTTCACCAGGCTTCTCTCTCTCTCTCTCTCTCTTTCTCTCTCTCTCTCGCTGTGTGTAAAATTTGAATGAATAAACATAGAGATTATTCTCGCCTCTTCCACAAGCCTGGCGAAACCGCAGTTTATTATCATCAATTTTATTTTTTAGAGTTCGACTTACGGGTGAACATACGCCTGCGGATCTTTGTAGCCGCCGTTGTTGGGTACCGTCGTGGTACCGGAAGCGCACGCTATCGAAACTGGATGAGCCTGCGTCATCTGTGGTGAAGGTAGTCGCGGTGGTGGCTGCTGTTGAGCGACCGGCTGCGACGTGGGTGCCTCGATTCGGCCACCGTGGGACACCGTTCCATTTTCATTGTGGGCAAGGGTGTCCGCGAAATATCTAAACACGAAACACAGCACGTCTTTTTTTTCATCCAACATCTTTGCGCGGTTTTATTTATTTTTTCTTTTTATTTACATTCGTTGCTTCTGCTATCGAATATTTATACAGTGTACCAGTACAGATGCATATTTATAGAGATACAGGTGATGTAAAGATGTTAGAAGACATTGTGATAGAGAATCGGTACGCGCGCTACGTCAACACCTTTTTTATTGATCTTTCGAGAGCTATGCATGCCAAGACCGCGGCTGTATGTTGAATTTGCAAAACATGAGATATCGTTATCGTCTGAATCACAGTTCGGCGTACAGCGGTAAATGATGCTTCGCGCTGCGTCTCGCATTGAGTTTTCTCAACTCGAAGAATTCGTGAGCGTTTATAACTGCACGGTACCGGTACTATTATGCAGTTTCCATCGAAGTAAGGAAGATTCGCGGCGACGGACGATTTACGCGTCTTTGAATTTTCCACGAATTCTTGATTAAAAAGCAAATAAGGAACGTTCATTCAATAACAATCTGCAATCTCTGTCGACCACGTTAAAAAAAATCATGCAAAATACCTGTTCCTCCTCATTGCATAAGCTACAGTAATTATATTGTCATTCGAGATGGAAATTTCTGATTCTTTAAATAAAAATTATGACTATCATTGTCTCTTTATTATCTCTTATTGCATATGGTTTTTATTATCATGATGTCTCGTATTATTTTATATTGTTTCGCAATTAATACAACTAAAATAAAAAATAAATATTTCTATAATATTTCTATAATACATACGAATCTCCTTTCTCTAAACGGACAATTCCGTATAAAATCACTTCGCATTTGAGTCACTATAACTATGAATTTTCTTCGCTTATCTATCTAACTAATGTTTTTTTTAAATAACATATCTATTGCGTATTGATCACGATGCATGCACGTGTACACTTTGAAATACATACAGAAATACAAGAGTAATGAATAATAAGAGAGAGAAAGAGAGGGAGAAAACACAAAAATTAGTAATAAAACAATGAAAAATTATCCAGGATAAAGCGAATCTGTTCCTAAAAGATGAAAAAAAAAACAAGAAAAATGCAAGTGTAAAAAAGCGTTCAATATTTTTAAGTACAAAACACTGACAAATTAGAATTTACTATTGTTAAATAAACGATATACGAGTGTCGCATTGGGCGAAAATAAAATTTTTTTAATTTTTTTCCTCGGTTAATCCAGTCGCTGTGCGATGATCCCGGGAGCCTTTTAATGGAAGACGAGTGCTGGAAGTCGAATTAGCAGGGTTAACGCAGTGTGCACGCTGTGATTCCATCAATTCCGTTCCGTCTGCCTCTGTCATTATATCATTACACCTCTGCGGTCGTTATCTGCGTGAATATCTGTCTGCGGGCTGAGTATATACGTACGCGTACGTATGACTGTGTGCGTATAAAGAATGGCTGGATGCGTTTCCTGGTGTACGCGATTACGTCAATATGCGCGGTCAGGTCTGGAATAAGATATTTTCATGCCCGAAGCCAAATGAGAAGCTGAGAGCTTACCGCCGCGCCGTTGTAAACTTGTGCGTTATTATTATATTCATTAGGAACACCAAGAAGTATTCGAGTTTCCTACTCTTATTCTCTACTTGAGAAATCACAGAAACAAATAATACAATAAAGTAAATCAATATTTTACAAATTTACAGCGACACAAATTACTTAATATGATCACAAACATAATAAATTTATACGATTATATAGTAATTAATGCAATCGTACTACGAGCTATTATCAGACAAACGCAAACGTTGCTTGTTCTGAAACACGTGAAATCTCTTGATCTATAATTACGGACAAAATAGTCGTATCAATAACAATAAACAGTACTAAAATTGCATCGCTATTTGAAATGTTATTAATACATATGCTAAAAAATATTAATCCGAGAAACGATCCTTGAGAAAATAAGGAATCCTATATAAATTCGTATCAATGTCGATGTGTCTATGCAGTATAGCTATCAAGGTCAGCATATTGCATCGACATTTACTGATTAACGACATGCGATTAATATACATGTATACTTTAACGTATACATTTATTTTGTATTTCTCTTTTAATTTGACTTCTATAGATATATGGGATCTATATATTTATTACAATTTATACACAAAGCTGTACAGTAGCTTTTTTATAATCTTAAATAATTTTTTACTCTTCAATTAATCATATATTTTTCAATCATTTAATTTTGCCATTGTTAAGAATACATACACGATAGCTGCATCTTTTATAGACTTTTACAGGTTTTTCTTGTTTTTTTTTTACTTGATAGAATATCTAAAAAATTTTGCCGCGTTTATATACAAATAATTTCACGCGTATTCTCTATATAGTAGCAATAAGACAGAAAAAATTGATATCTTTTCTTAATTGTTCGTTTTAAATTCATTACTTTGAATATGCAGCGCAGAAAAATGTGTCATAGGAGGTAATTTGAATTAATAAAATATAAATAATGTCAACAGTAACCATTCCTATGATAATCGCCTGTTGTGGTGACAGAGTAGCCTGAATACATAGTGTCGAGATGGAGCAATTTAGAAATTTAGCCTGATACATTGTGTCGTTCGCAGGAAACGCGTGCTCGTGCTGCTAGACGGCAGAAGCGTATTATCTGAATTCGTTAATTATCATAATTTGAGAGGCGCCTATAATACAAGCGTTGAAAACGTCACGTTTGTAGGATTTTTCACCGTATTATACATATATTTGGAATATTTTGTAGCTATAATTTCAGGTCGCAGAATTATCTTCATATAAATCGGTGAATAAAACAAATTAAAAAAAGATACTTTTAGATTTTGATATAATATATACTGATATTTTCATGTAACGTATGAATGAAGCGTAATGGAGCGTTATGTTTAATCGAGAAGATTCATTAATGCAACTTTAACGAACAGATTTATTAATATAAATTGGTAAATTGGCATTCAGTATTCTGAGAAACAACAATTCGAGTTTTGCGATCATTACGCTGATGACACGCATTACGCACGTGTGACGAACACGCGCGTTGTAGGCGTTAACCATGGCTTCCAAATGTGGTTAAAACTTCGTCGCCAGACCGTTCGAGATCAAGTTTCCCGTCTAATCGGAGTTTTCTTTTTTTTTTTTTTAACCAGCTTAAGATGCATGATACAAATACCGAAATGAAAATAAATAACGATCATAATACACGTGCAAAATTAATCGAGAAATTAATATTCTTTAAACTCACGTCGCAGGTTGTTCACTGTCACTGTTGATAAAGTCCTCCAACTGTGAAAAATCCAAGGCTTCGTTGTCTATCCCCCCAACGAAATCACCACGACCTGAAAAGGAATAAAGAATTTAGGATAATTATAAATTGTTTTTGTTATAAGCACAACATATAATATGAATAATATCATGGTCTCTAATTGTAACCGATATAAAAATCAATGCGTTTCGAGAATAAGTATATATATATATGCTACAATATAACATAGAATGTAATTATGAATATCACAAAATTGTTGCTATGCGCTTATTTCAAACATACACACGCAAACGTCTGTCGTCATTTGTTGCATCATAAATTGCAAGAACTCGTGTGAGAGATGCATCTACGTGGGAAAGAGATTTTCAAGGAAGGTACATTGTAAGTTACCGTCGATGATAATTTTAAGTGAGGGAGAAAGTTGACTTATTGAATAGACACGAACAAATTTCACGGATGATCGAGACTTGAAGACGACGACGCAGTTGAATGAACAAAGCGTCAACGGACGAGGAAAAAAACAGTCGCGCGAACAACAATCGAATTTCTTGCAACAGTTCCTAAATTCCACGTATACTGTCGAAATGTCCGTTTTTAGACACAGTTGTAGGAGTCGATTTATCAGATTTATAATTTTCTCACGATGAAAATCACGCGAGACTAAAGAAGAAATCTGTCAACTACTTGACAAAGTCTAAAAATCATAAAGCAAATCAGCTAGTCTCCCTAATTAACATTGATATTCTCGATCCTGTTTTGTAATGTAGAAACGCGGGCATGTACTTCGTATATACTTAAGCGCTTAAGACTACAAGCAAAGCGTTGTAATACGTTACTTCCGGTCAAACATTCATAAACGTTTAAGCATTGGGAGCCGACAGTAAGGACACTTTTCAAGTGTCTTTACTGTCGGAATAACAAGACGTAACATCGCGTCGCATCATTTCGCCGAAAGTTTTTCCAGTAGAGCTGAATTATCATACATAAATATTTAATGTTACGCATAAAACTTTTAGAGAATCATTTTTATTTTGAATCATTACATTTTATCGAAATTGTATAAAGATAGGTAGTCGTATAATAATTGTATTGTGAGATATTTCTATAAGAATAAAGGTACCATATAAAGAGAGTTTAAAAAATATTATAAAAACGGAAAATATGAGTAATAAATGTATAATGACAAATATATACAGCAAAGCAACTTAATTATTTAAATAAATATATTCATGTCCGGTCATTTTAATAAATGCGATGCCTCAAATTTTTTTATAAAGATGCTAACAGATTCAGATTTTCAGTGATCTCATCGGGCAACGAGTTTTACAAATCAGATTTGGATTTTTGGTAAATAACAAACAACAAATAATTATATTATATACAAGTTAATATTATGGAAATTAATGAAAACCGAAACGGCATTCTCTTCAAGAATGTTTTTAGCTCAAAGAAATATTTCAAATTGATTTGAAATTTTATAACTTTTCCAAAGAGAATAAATATAATTTTTAAGAGAAAAAGAGAAAGAGAGAGTATCTTTTTGTGCTATTGACCGCAATAAGAGCTACCATTTTTAAATAATCAGGCAAATGAAGTCTAGGATGTGCATGGCGTCTAGCGTTTACAGAAAGAGTTGGAGGGGTGAGTTACGAGGGTGGATAAGTCGTTGCCAGCCAACCCTTTATCGAGGTATCGACCAAACACCGCCCCCGTGAGCATGGTTGGCCGTTTAAATCTGAATATCATTACAACAAATATGCATTGTGCGCTTAATTATAAATTATCAAAAATCATTAATAAATAAATAAAAGTTAGAATAATGTTATTTTGTGAAAAGCGTAATTCAATTTTTCAATAGATAAAATATTGTTTCTTATTTATATCGTATATATTTAGCAATGTTAATATCCGAATAAAAAATTATTCCAAAAAAAGAGAAATGCACCAAGATACTTATTTTATTTACAGTGAATTAGAATTAATTGCAATTCGTGATAACATAAAGAAATGTAACTTTCACTGAATTATACGTAATTATATACATCTTTTCTCGTCGCGCAATGTATAGGAATGTTAATTTCAGTTGAAGCGAAGCCCCTAATCGCGGATAAAACAATCGTGTAATAATTGCGCCTATTCCAATCAAGTCTCGAATGATGTAAAAAGGCTTATGTATAAAGACGTATGTAGGCTTTCAACCTCTATGTATCGGCTGACGACCACTTTCTCCGGCAAAGCAAATAGAAATGCATCGTGGACAGCGACTCGTCTATGAAAATTGGCCGGCTTTCATCCTTCGCAACAGAATATAGATGAATATAGAAATGTTTATAACCGACTGTTGTAATCCACACGGCGATAGAAAGTAATACTAACGTATCCATGCAACACCATCGTATTATTCTTGCGACACGTGTATCATCACGATCATATCGTAAACGTTTAAACAGAGGAAGTTAATCGAAACCCAGTTGTCGATTTCACCCCCGTTAATCGTAGGGTTGATGCAGCTGCCGCATTGTAAGCACAATGCAAATCCGGTGGAGTCCCACCTGAGGTCTAAATAATTAGCAGAGAGCAGCATTCCCTTTTCACGGCCATTAAGAGGTTTTCGAGAGGGGTCCGAACAAGTTGCAAACAGGTGTTAAACTGTTGTTTGTAATCATAAATATATCGATATTCATGTAACATTTTTTTACAACTTTGATATAATTATGCTCTTTACATAAAAATACTAATATTGTATTAAACAGGGATGACACGAGCAAACAAACGTAATTAATAAAATTATGTATAATATTAGAACTTTCTTTTCTACTTAAAAATTACATTTAAAAGAAAAAAAAATCTTATTGTTTATATATCAATTAACAAATAAGTTATGTGTGTTGTTATTAAAAGTAATAATATGATTTCAAGAATCAATAACAAAACATTTAGAAATTAGATTACAGGATATTTAATAACAAACCCAATGACAATAACATTGTAATTTATCTAATTTCAGTTAAAAATAACAAAAATTCCTCCTTATTTATAATATACCAATGTTAGTTATTCTAACAAATACGAAAAAATAAATTTCCGAGTCGTAAGGAAAAATAAAATTGACATATTTACTTTTTCAAACATAAAGCTTCAAATCGTCTCTTTTGAAAATAAAAAAATATTTCATCTTATAAAGATAAATTTTGAAATCGGTATTTTTCGTTCTTCCAAAAATACTGCCAACTATTGCGATACAATTCTAAATCTTACGATATTATCTTCTCGATTGTTTTGTGTTTTACGATCTCGCGAAATTGACATTATTAATCGTCAATGTAATAATCAATGTAATGTTACCTTTGCTTGACGAAGAAGGAAAAACTAAATGTTCGTATTAAATATCGCGTCTGTAACATTCGTAAAATAGAAAAAGCACTCGTGTCGTTTACAAAAATTATGCATTAATATTCAATTACCTGCTACGCTAAGCAATCGACGTGCGCTAACGTGACTGATAATATTAGGATCTTCGTGATGATCATTCGGATGATTTCGTCCATGTTGATCGTTAGATTGATGTTGAAGTGCCCACGAAAATTCCATAGCGACGAAAATGTTTTAACAAACTTGGATCGAAAAAATTGTCGCTCGAAAAATTGTCTGGGACATAAGACTAGAACAACACTTCATCGCTACATAATTAATGTCGCGAAAAGTTGATTAAACTTACGACATTTAATCTATTCGAAATAAATATCACTTTGCTCGCATATAAATTGTTCAAGTATCGCATGGGTCTTTACATTTTATGTAGCACTTCATAATTTTTCTTCCACGAAAATATTAGACGACAGATTATTCAAATTCGTCACAAATTCGTGATAAAATACGACGGCGGAATATTGACGATACTTCTAGATGTAATTTAAATAAAACTAGTGTTAAAATCTTTCTCTTTCTCTTTCTTTAATTGTCTGTCGCGAGAATGAGGACATAGGTCGTTCGTAGTCTTGGTTTTCTAGTTGGGCAACGAAACACAACAGTCCACGGTAGTTCACGACTTAATCGCGGGTCTCCTCCATCGGAGGGCTCCAGTATATTCCAGTACCTCCACCATATTCCAAGTATAGAGGGGATTTCCTCTTTGACTGGAGGGCGGCGCTTATTTCAGACTGAAAGGGGTGGTTATACGCAGCCCCTTTCTTCGATATGTACTATCGTGCACAAGACGTCATGATACGAATTCGAAGATTAATGTTCCCTTATAAATTGCAATTAACGTTTTTCTTTATTCGCTATAAATTCAGATATCGATTGCAATTAACTTATAGACTTAACTATGACTTGATATTTAAATCACGTAATCTATCAATAAAAGACCGAATAACTTGCCATGCACGATTGAAATAATACATATATAAAAATTATTAAAACTCACTTTGTGAGTTTACCTGCAGATTATGTACATATATATTATTCCCACAAAATACGAAATAGTACAATTAAATTAATTTATATAAAATTATAAACTATATCAATTTATAACAATTAAATCTTCGATAAATCGTTTCTTTCTTTGATGCACAATTATGATGATTGTACATATAATAAGTTTAGTAATATAAAAAAATAGAAATTAGTATACACAATATAAGAAATTATTTTTCAAAATACAATTGCTAAAATGTCCACTTCGATAATCGTGGATTTCACGCGAATTATATAAGAAATTTTTTAGTAAATTTTATGCTCAAGAAAAGTGATAAAAAATATCTATAATTTCGTCTCACAATTTAAGACAGCTCAATTAACCGATATAAAATGATGAAGATAAGAAATTGTATCATTCTTGCCAATTTTTTTTCAGTGCTTCAAGTTCAGCGTTTGAATCTCTAAATTTAATATCTATAACGCGATAGCCGATACGTAACGATAAGTAACGACAATGATATTTTTTATTTCCAACAGCAATGCTATTTCGACTAAACAAATTGTCTCTTCGTATCGTCTCTTTGTCGATTAACGATGACTTAAATGCATCATCGTTGATATACGTATGAAACATTAAACAATTAAAGAGGGGCTTGTAGATCCAATTATTCTATCAGAATTCT